TTAAGTTTTCTGCATAAAAGGAAAGTCAAGAAATGTTAAAAAGATAGTTGCGTCATTTGGTTTTTCTTAGCTTGACAGTGACTCCAAAGCAGTGGGAGAACATTTCAGATATCAACATAGCTAAAGCAGAGCACCAGAAGACCAACTCTGAGTCCATGAGGGCCCTGGTGCAGTCTGTCCTGGAGCAGACAGCTGCTGACATGCAGAAGCAGTTCCAGGCAACAACAACTGCCTTCCAGACACATATCCAGGAAATCAAGTCTGCCAAGAGCCAGATGGAAGAGAAACTGCCGGAGGTAGGGCAGGGAGGTTTGTTAGACTGCGTGCTTGTTGTACAAGGAAGCAGATGTAATGCTGTGTTTAGCATTCTGCCAGGTATTAAATTAATGACTGGTTTCAAATCATTTTCTGTTCTGCTTTAAAGTTAGCACGTGTGTTGTGGTGACCTAAGTCACCACAACACACGTTTTTCATATCCTACATTTTCATATTCTCACGTATTTGCGCAAAAGTCGACCTCACCTGCGTTTGTGGAGGGAGGTGCACATGCAGGTGTATTTGTTTGGCCATATCTGTGAGGATATTCACTCAAATGAATGCTTTGCAGGGCCTCTGACCTGTAAGTTGAACCATGAGTGCCAAGCACCAAACCCATAATGTTATCCTAACCTAAATTTGACTATCCCCAATGAATTAATCCCCAAACAGGCCTTTATAGGCCTGTTTGTTTACAGGCCTTTATATTTATATAGTTAGGAAGAATGATGGCCCGCCAAGTTCTGACTTTTATAAACGTCACTCTGATGGTCTAAAACTCCTACTTTCATAGATAGCCTCACAAGTTCTTACTTCATTTTGTCTATTTTATGTCTTTGGTTTCCTGTAACACATTACTTACATAGTTTGAACGTGTGGTTTCCAAGAAAGCTGCCTGTGCAATCTGCTGTTCTCTACAACAGTCTGTCCTTGTGTGTGCATACACACTCATGGACTGTGTCCTTATACCTCATATCGTTTCAAAACAGTAACTGTATGATTGACTTCATATGATGTATTCAGGGCCATGCATAGTTTAACTTTAAAGAAATCGGGGTTTCACTCTTTTCAAACTCTCTTCTCTTCAAACTGACCCTGCAGTAAGTGTAAGCATGAAGAAGCATGAAGTCTTTTTTATGTCATTGCATCAGCAAAATGATTATTAATATATAACGGCCCATCCTCTTGTAGAATAAAAGCATGCATACATTGTTGATATTGTTGGCCTCAGATAATTGTGATTACTCCCTGACTTCAAAACTCTGTTTCAGTCACAGTGTCGCTGAAAGTCATTTGCAGGTACGCTGCTAAACAAACCTCTCACTTTAGTTTTCATTTCCAGGAGAATCAACATGTGCAGAGCAAAATGTGTCTGCATGTAACCAGAGGGCTCTCCTCTAGTCAGAGTGCCAAAAAGATGTGAATCACATCAAACTTTGTCCCCAGTAGATCAAAGATTCAGAGTGCAGAGGAACTGAATTATAGAGTGTACATTAAAAAAAAGACATAGCAACTGTGGTGTCATCATTGGATTTGCATTTTTGAGGCCTCAAGAGTAGTATCTTGCACAGTACCTTAGTATTTTGGTCCCAGAGGTGACCATATTTTGATGAGAGGATAGAGTGCAATGTAAACAGCTAATGCTATCAAAGTGTATTAGCAAGCTAACCTTATGTGTGCAGTGCAAAGGTACATATATCTGCTAGTTACAACAGAGGAACAGACTAATGAAATGTTACGGTGTGAACACACCGTTAGAATGTTAACTTCATAGTAGAATTAGTTTGAAATAATTTCACTGCAGATTGTGAATCTTGGCTGCCCCTGGTGTGACACCTGTATTCCCTCTAGATTCTGTCTGAGATAGTC